GACACAAAACTCTCCTCCTCTTGCATGTTTCCGCTGTCCATAGCGTTCCTTGACAGTGTCGTTGCCAAGTCACCAACTTAGTGCTACTTGGTCCCAATGGAATTTCCCATTGGGAACCCAATAGCACTAAGTTGCTAACTGGTTAGCAAGATGCTTCCAACAAACCGGCCACAACCAAACTTTCTTGCGAACCTTCCGCCACAACAATCCCGTCCTCTCGATAATTGACCAATCACATTCACTTTATTCACTCGTGTAATGTTGTGAGAATTCGGAAATGCAACGGTTGGAACGGCCGTTTCCCTACGATTTTAAAAGGGGCCTTACATGAAAATGATCTTACATTAAGTATGATTTGGAAGTTAAATTTCCCAGAATCTTGAGGAAAAATTTCCACTGACAGATGGAGTGTCATTTCATGTGCTGGTGTTGGTCCGCTGTGTTTTACCAGGTCCAAAGGCAGAACAGCATCAACCAGGTATATTAGAGCCTTTTTTTTTTTTTTGCTAACAAGCATTTATAGAGTAGGTAAGGACATATAAGTGTGGGACTTGCAAGTAGGGTAGGGCATCAAGAATTTTCATCAAAAATCCAACTTTTTGCGTTTGATTCAAATGTGATGGGATTATATTATACAAAGGACGGCACTCGGCTGAGATAATTAATCAGTGCCTAACTCAAAATGAGTTCCTGAGGGAATTTGTTCTTCGTAAGGCACCTTGTGCAGGGAAAGCAGAGCCTTTTACAGTAGCAGCCATTCAAAATGGCCCTTCCCAGTCAAACGCCAGCCAAATGGCAACCCACTTTCCTGCAACTCCCAGCAAAATCCCCTCCAACTTCCAGCCACTGGATCGACCACCTCCCTCACCTGGCGTGTATATTTTTTTACTCTGACTCCACCCTTTCACTGAATTACAGGGTCTGACCAGAAGATGACGATTCTCTTTAGATCTTAATGTCCACAAATCATGACAGAAAGAATATTTTAGTACAAAGAAAGATGTTTAAAAAGGAATTCATCAAGGAAATTTTGAATGGCTACTACTGTATATCCTTTCCTCCTCTTACTTTACATCTTAACAAACACTCACCTTTATTCCTACGTGCCATGAATAGAATAACAATCACCAAGACGTAGATCAGTCAAATTAATGAATCATTTTAACTGGACCTTTATTCGTTTTTTTATTTTAGTTCAACTGGAATCTGTTTCTTATGATGAAACCCACTCATGAAACAAAGGAGCATGAAATCTGATCGTTGCTCTATCCACAAAAGTAAAACATCATTAAATTCACATCTGGTTGAGTGGAGCTGAGGTTCAGTAAACGACTCAGATGATATAAACTCTGTCAGGATGTCTTCCTGCTGCTTTTTCTTCCAGTTCAGGCAATCAGCCTAGCACCGCACCACAGAATCAGTCAAACAGGCAGAATCAGGTAAATAGAGCTTAAAAAATATCTTATTGTCATGATTTTACTAAAGTTCAGAGCCAAATGCAGAAGACCAAACACAGAGACAAAGGGAAAAGGTGTAACAGGTTTTATTGAAGAGATAATGCAGAGAGAAGTGTTGCTCTGAACACTGCTCAACTGGAACTGAAAAGTGAGGGGAAGGCACGGCGATAAGTTCAGGTTCAGTGGGAAATTTGATTCGTAAACTTGGAGAAGAGGATTTGGTTGCTGACTCACGTTTCCAGAGAAGTTGTTGAATCTTTGACTCCAGTCTGTATGCTGTAGTTCCAGTGTTTGTCTGATTCGGTGGAATGCGGTTGTTTGTAGGTGAACGTAGAAAGTGACTGCCACTCAGATTTCCTGCGGTACTTGAACTGGTCGTAATGGAGATGAATCCCTTGCTCAGTTTGAAGCTCAGTTGATCCTTCCAGGGAGAGAAGGTCCAAAAAAGCCAGTTTGCAAGATGACTTCCCAAAACTGGGAAACACTCTGGCGTCGAGGTAGTGGCAGTCAGCAGCTTAACAACACACCGTTAACGAGGAAACCATCAGCAGGTGTGTGAGGAGGCGGACCAGAACCAGGCGCCTCCTGGTGGAGGAAGGGAGACGAACACAGACACACAGACAGGAGTCCTGACACTATATGTGTAAATGGATTTTAATAAGGTTTTACACAAAAAAGCCCAATGTGAAAGTGTAACTGAAAATTCATAAGAGTTATATTACAGTTCAGAGATTTGATATTTAGAAACTTGGTGATAATCACACAAAGTTAGATTTCCAAAGAATTACATTTCATCGAGGTTCAGACCATTTCATCCAGACAGAACTAAGACAGATCTAAAAAAAATTGAATCGTTCAAATCAAAACAATGCCTAACTCTACTTGCAGGATATTTCCACTGATTACCAGTATCTGCTTTAATAATAACAGTATGCTGGTGCCGGGCCTAAACCCTATAGTTCTGGATTATTAAAAATTGGAACATGGGAGACACCATGTGCACAAATGCAGACAAGCTGAGCACATTATTAAACCAACCAAGGCCCCCTGAAAACCTCAGCAGATTCAACGGCTGATCTCCTCCATGCGACGTCGTATTACTGCAGTAATTCTTGCCAAAAGGAGCCCCAACTTAAATACTGAGGGGAGATACTGTTCAGTACATGGATGTACATTTTAGTGGGGTGGGGTTAGAAATAATTTAGATTTTTTTTGTATCTAACATGGCTACGTCTGGAAAAAACTGTGATTTGTTGCAGGACTTTTCTGCAGGACATGGATTGTCTGTATTCCTTGTATCACAGGGAATGCTCTAGGAGGAGATCGTTAAAGTGCGATAATTGAAAAATGGTCAAAAATTGACCTTTGACCCAAAATGGCTGACTTCCTGTATGTTTTAGGGCACACCTCCACGAGATCTCCCCGCAACATTACCCCCTTTAGAACAAAAGGCCGGAGGGGGTCTGGTTCGGGAACCAGCTGATCTTGTATCTGCTTTTTGTGGATGACGTAGCTCTCCTGACTCCCCACTGCTACAGCATGAACTGTTCCCAGCCAAGTTTCAGGTGGCCGGGAGGAGAATCATCCCCTCCAAGTCAGAGGCTACGGTTCTAGACAGGAAAAAGTTGACTTGTCCTTTTAAGGTTGGAGGAGACTTCCTGTCTAAGGGGAGGAGTTAGAGTATCTTGGGGTCCTGTCAGGGATGGATCTGGATTCAGCAGGTTATCTCTATGTCATATATTGAAGGAGGTGAGGCCAATCTGCACAGTGAATTAACCTGTGCAGATTGGACTTGTCTGCTTCAGTTGCTGGAGAGATCAAATATATGACATAGAGATAACTTGCTGACTCCAGATCCCCCATCTCTGGCTCCTTTTCACGGTTGATGGGAGAACGGTGGGCGGGATCGATAGAAAGATCGGTGTGGATGCAGCTAAAATGCAGATGATGTACCGATCTGTCATGTTGAACAGGCAGCTGAGCGAAAAGACAAAGCTCTTGATATACCAGTCGGATAAGGTTCCTTCCCTCCCCTGTGGTTATGAAATCTTCTTGACTGAAAGAACAATATCCTGGATAAAAACAGCTGAAATTAGCTTTTATTTTACAGGAGCTTTTATTTTGGGCCCTCCCTTAGAAAAAGGGTATGTCAACTAGCATGAGTACGAGTGTATCTAATACTTATATTGATGAACAAAATTTTGGGTTTGAATGAAACTTGAGACCAAAATTATGAAAATAACATGAGTGAAAAATAATGAATGAATGAATAGAACTTTATTGATCTCACAATGGAGAAATTATCTTGTGAAATTGGCTCTTATAAACAAACACAAGGTGCACATAGGAGGAAAAGGTACATGAAATATATACAGTGCATCCAGATATATACAAAATAAAAATAAAAAAGTCACATTGTTCTTGATTCAGGTTTCCCATCCTCCGGCCTCCTTGGACACTGTGACTTTGAGGCCGGACTCTGCGGATACACTCAGGATAAAGTCAGCGATTCAGCTGACTGGCATCAGAGGAGAGGATCCACCCCAACTTCATACACGGGACCTAGAGGGGACCACACCATGGGTCTCGGTGAGGAGACCTCCCCCATCTAGATCTCCGCTGATCGCATTTCCTGTTGCAAAAAGTATCCTCATACATCCTCCTCCCTACTTTCATCAGGGTACTACATGTACATTGAGGCGTCGCCCATGCTGCCGGGCCAAAACGCTCGGCTGGTCTCCCAACCTGTAAGGGGAAACAGGGGACCTCAGTGTCTCCAGTTCTTCTACCACATGTACGGCACAGGAACGGGCAAGCTAAGGGTGCTTGCCGTTAAGGATGGGGAGGAAGAGTTGCTGTGGCAACGGAGCGGCGAGCAGAGCATCGCCTGGCTGAGAGCTCAGGTGGAGTACCAGAGCCAAAGTCGACATCAGGTGAGAGGAATATAAAACAGTCCATTGCTCTTTTTTTTTTAACTATTACAAATACAAACTTACCAACTAGTAAAGAGAATTAATCAGTTGTATTCTTCATATTTATGTTTGTTCAGAATCAAAATCAGAATCAGACATACTTTAATAATCCCAGAGGGAAATTACTTTTGCTACACGCTACAGATATACAAACATTATATATATATATATATATATATATATATATATATATATATATATATATATATATATATATATATATATATATGTGTGTGTATTTATTTACATAAATGTTTCTGAAATTTATGTAAATAAACCTGCTGCAAAAAAGCTTAGGTTTAGGCTGCTCAGTGGGTAACACAGCAAGAAAAAGGTTCCGGGTTCGATTCCCGGCCGGCGGTCTTTCTGCATGGAGTTTGCATGTTCTCCCTGAGCATGACTGGGTTCTCTCTGGGTACTCCGGCTTCCTCCCACAGTCTAAAAACATGACTGTTAGGTTAACTCCCACAGACTGCCTCTAAGCAAGACCCTTAACTCCCTATTGCTCCCCGGGCGCCCCACGATGGCAGCCCACTGCTCCCCATGCGGATGGAATAAATGAATTCTCAGGTTGAATTAATGTAAAAAAAAAAAAAAAAATGCTCACGTTTGTCCCACAGTCGCCTTCTTCTATTTTAATAGATACGTTTAAAAAAAACTCCTCTATGGAGACCTTTATCCCTCTTATTTTGAAGGGGACATACTGCTTTGCTTTAAGGTCAGTTTTTCAATCAACAGTAAATAAAAAATGGGATTAAAAAAAAGAAAACAGAAAAAAAACTTCAGTGACATTAACCCAGATAAGAAGATAATCTGTAATCTTACTCCTGTTTATCCATCACCACATATCCTGTAAACATACTTCATGAGCACAAAGTCAGGCCAAACATTCGCCCTAAATGGCTTTGTTTTTCATCCAGAGGATTAAAACTGCCAGGCAGTAGTAAAGAAAAAAAAGGGACAAATAAGGAGAAAACTTTTGACTTAATGTGTTTAGCAAGCAAATTCTGAACTGAAACAAGAACATATGTTTGGTTTATTGAAGATTGTGACAAACTGTTCTTGTTTAGTTGAATGTAATGGGTCTAAAAACAAAACTATTAGTACCAGAAACCTCCACATCACATAAAATCTGGTATTTTTCCAAATGTGGACCTTGTTATCATGAACATGGTCTCATCCAAAGGGAATGAAAGTTAGTAGAACAAAACTTTTTTTGTAATGTTGTGTAGAAAAGTCCGAAATAGTCTCATGATGACCAAGTTTAACTTCTGTTTAACTTTACTGTCCCCATTTTTCAATAAAAAACATGGTATAATTTTCATATTATCTTGATTTACAGTATCTTAGTTTAGTCTTTTCATTTCCAATTATTATTTTTAGCCTAGCTCAATGTAAGCTAAATCGTTTTTGCTTTTATCAAGTCTTGGCTTAACTTGTATTGTCTCGGCTTGTTAGCTACTTTTATTTTAAGTTGATCTTAATTTATAACATCGTGGCATATAACCTAATTTATTTTAGTTAGCTTAACTTTTGTTTATTTTTACATTCATTCAAGTCTTGCTAGCATGTTTTAGCTTAGTTTACCTTTTTGTTTTAACTCATCTTGATTAGATCTTCTTTAAAAAATCTCATTTTATTTTGCTAAGTTTAGCTTAGCACAACTTCACATGACTTTAACTTGGCAAGTTTATTGATTCAGCTCCTGTTAAAACAACATAACTAGTTTGGCCGCAAGCTAATTTTTCAGAGTTTGAGTGCTCACAAACACACAAATTATTAATCTGACTTGCCAGATTATACCTATCATATTTAATCTTTAATTCAATTCAGTTTATTTAAATAGTGCCAATTCACAACAGACATATCATCTCACTTTTACAGTTCAACCAGATCATACAGTCAGATTGATTCAAAGGTTGATTGCATCGACTCATTGACTTGAAGTCAATCCCTCACACTGAGCATGCGTGTAGTGACAGTGGAGAGGAAAAACTCCCGCAGAACCAGGCTCAGTGTGAGCGGCCATCTGCTTTAAGAGGAGAAAGAAGCAGAGATACAAAAAGCTGCTGTAAAAGGCGGCCCGGTCCAGGAAACACAGCCAGAAGATGAAGAGATCCAGCCAGTCACAGTCAGAGAAACTGGACTACACTGAAAAACAGGCCAAGGTTTAGCATTTACTATTCTTGTAATGATCCATAATGTATCCGGTTTAATTTGGATTTGTATTTCAGATTAAATCATTTTATCTCAGCTTGGCTTTAACCTTTCTTATCTTAGATGATTTAGATTTAGCCTATCCTATCCATCCTATTTTAGTTTAAGTCATTTTACAATAGTTTCTTTGTTTTTAAGTTAAACTGGAATTATTCAATCTTAATTTAATATTTATCAAATTTCATTTTAGCAACTTAATTTGAGTTATCTTATATTACATATATTAGTTAATTTTGGTGCAACTAAGCAAAAGACACTGTTTAACTAAGGCATTTCTACATTATCTAAGCATACCTTGGTTTGGTAAAATAGATCATCTTAACCACCTAAACGTCTTATTTTTAAGTATTTTAAATTATCTTTGGTTGCTTCGTAGATTGATTATTCTTCAGATTTTATTTTAACCTCTCATTTCTTATATTAAAC